ACAAAATGGGCCGTCAAATTTCATTCTGACGGGACATTCGAGCACCCCGGAAGTTTTTGAATAGACTGAGCAGGGGTTTCGGAGAAGGGGCAGAGCAGCTTAATAAAAAAATGAAATTTTTCTAAATGGGGACGGGGACAAAAACCATGCCAATAAAACTAAATAATGTAATCTTAATTTTTACGTTTTGCAAAAAAGTTTTGGGAGTTCTGGTTAGAAAATCTGAAACCAAGACAACTGCATAATGTTCGCAATAAAGCTAATAATTTGGTTTCATATCAAGAAGCATAAATAAGGATCCTCATTGTTCTTCAACCTATAAAACCTTGGTTGGGCCCTTTTTAAATTTAGCTGCACAGTTTGGGGTCCCGTATTCAGAATGGATATAAATTCCTGGAAAATGTACAAAGGGGGGATGACAAATTTGATCCCATGATCAAAAACCCCCCCTATAGGAAACAAGGGGCCCTGAAACGCACTCTCTAAAAGCAGAATAAATTTTTTAAAAAAATAAGACGAAAAAATAAAGGGGATGAAATTTTCTGAAAAACCCCCCAAACGGACTCCAGCTTTTTAAAGGGAAAAATTCAATTCAAAGGTTAAAATACTTTTTAATAATTGTGATATGAAAAAAACCCCTACAGTTTTTACCAAACTTGTTTCTTAAAATGGGTTGGTAAATACAAGGGGATTGGGTGGGGTTGAGTTGGACCGATACTTTGCAAATCGGTTGCCCCGTTGGGACCACCTGACAGGTTGGTGCATTGGCTTAAGCCGGTGGGAGACTTGGACCTGCCTCGCATGGCCGTAGGCCTCTGCTTTTTCCTTCTTTCTTAGTTCTTTCTTATACAAAACATCTAAAAAAACCTAAGAAACCCTGACCCAGGGGGGCGCCCACCTCGCAAACCCAGGTTGTCAACTCCCCCCAAAAACCCCAAAGTCAACAACTAAACAAACAATGCCCCAGAAATTGCCTACTCCCTCGCTATAGAAGCTACCCGTAAAAAAAGGAATTTTTTCCCAAGGTAAACCCCCACCTTGCCTGCCTAAAAATTCCCCCCGGAGCCCCAAGTTCCCCCTTAACTCTACAGCCTCTGCTTCCTGTAACAGGGGAAAACAACTCAAATTTTTTAGATGATGACTCTAACGATTAAAGAGTCCCCTTTAAAATTTAAAAACCCCCTTGAAGATATGGGATTTTTAATACACAAGCACCTCGCAAAAGTTCCCTCCTCCCCTTTTCGAGCCAGCAGGGATAGTTGGAACAAAACTCCAACTTTTGGCGTTCAGACCGCAGTACACAGCGAAGGCAAGAAATAATGGGGAACAAATTTTTCAAAATTAAGTTCAACATTTCTTTAAAAAACCGTTACCCTTTTTATTTGAAATACATAACTAAATCCATGTTTACTTTTTAACGAGACAGTTTGGGAAAGAGTTTACCAATTAAATTTCGGGTTATCTACGTGGAAAACCCAGAGGGCCCTTTTTGTGGGAGCCATCTATTAAAAATTAAGGGGAAACATTTTAAAAAAATTCTGTTGAGAAATAAAATTTTTCAATAGAAATGACAACGCTCAGGACAACTTGAAGTAACGGGTAAAATTTTCCCCCAGACAACCATATAAAGAGTCAATTCCTCTACATAGGATATTAAGCAGAAAAATTTCCCCATTCTAGGGGAATTTTAATGCCACACCCGCCCCCCCCTTTACTTGGACTGGATTCCCCCTGGGGGACTTAAAAGGAAAACAACTCTTTAAAAAATCAAACAGCAAAACTTGCATTTCAAGCCCATTCTTTAAACGTACATTGGAACCTCCTCCAGGGGACACCAATAATACTGACCAAGACGTGACATCCACGTCGATATCTCCTTGGAAATGTAGGATTGACCTATCCCTGTTATAAAAAACTACAACTTCTCCATTAGAAAAAACCTTAACCCTAAACCCAATCTTTAAAAAAACCCAGGATTTTTACCCCTTCAGGGCATATCTGGGTAGGAGAAAATGTGTCATTTTGGGAAAAACACCCCCAAAGCAATTGATGATGCAATCAGGGCCCGCATAATCGAATTTTTGAAGAAATAATGCAAATTGCCAATTAGCTTCCACAAATATACCAACAATTTAAACCCACAGGGAAAATTTGAGACAATTTAAGAAATTATCAAACAAATGTCGAAGGCATCTTTAACCACACAACCACCACAGCTACACTGCACCGATTTAAGGGAAAAATTAATTACATATTAGTAACACAAACGAACATAGGAAACTTCTATTCTTCAAATTAATCAGTATCAACGTGAACCAGCAAAATTTTTGGGGTAAGACCGACAACTTTTTTGGGGGAAAAACACAAGGGTCCAACTACCTATTCATCCTTCACTGAAGGGATGAGAAGAAGTTGAAATTAAAATTGATGATTCACAGACCGCAATTTATGGGTTTAGTAGGGGAAAAATCCTCCCACAAAAAACTTTGTCAATTTAATAATAATTTATTTCAGTTGGTCATGAAAGGAGAAGAAACTTGTGTCAAACCCCCTACCCTTCCATCG